GAGCGTCCTGCTGGGGTCAGCCCGACCCCGGCCAGGAGAGTTTGGGCAGGGTGACGGTCTCACCCCGCACAGGGGCGAGGGGTTTGGGAGGAGTGGGGGGCCGAGGGCAGGCCCTGAACACATGCGAACCTGCCCCGCTGGCTGTGCCTTGCGCCCTTTTCGTCCTCCCTGCTTATTATTCCGCTGCCCATTTCGTTGCACCTGGAGGGAATGTATATGATTTTTTTCTCATTTCCAATAAATTCCGGTTATTTTCTCTATTGCTGCATAAGCAATTCTCACTGCTTTTTGCGGGGAAAGGAAGTGGGAGGTGAGGAGGAAGGAAATGAAGATATCTTGTTCTCCTTGTTACAACCATTTATTCACTATTAGCTGTATTGAACCTAAGTAAACAGGAACTTGGAGGTACTGGTCAGCTGTCAGCTCTTCATCTGTGGCTTCACATCAGCTTGAGGCTGGAACTTTGTTTCTTGTCACCTTGTCCCTGTGTGGAGGGGCCTGGACGTTAGGAGAAGGGGGATGTTTCCAAAGGCCTCCCTCCACCCTGTCCGTTCCTAAAGCATAGGGTATCTCCTTTTCTCCTTGGGTCCTCTGGGGCTTGCGAGCTTATAGAGCCCCTCGCAGCTCTTCAGCTGCAGGATTTTGGGCATAGGAATCCTCCCTGACCCCAGGAGCTTTGTAACAAAACGTGTAAAATGGATGGTGTAGCCTGGCAAGCCGAAAGGAGGGGAGCCCTAGAGGCGTTCCCAAGGCTTGGTGTTGCTCCAGTTGTCTCACTGCCCCACGTGAGGAGAGGGCTGAGCAGGGCCCGTGGAGCTGTCGCTGACCCTGCCAGCTCTCGTGTCTGACTTCTGCCTTGAGCTGGCAATTACCTGGCAGTCCTCGGGCCAGCACAGCTCTCTTGCCAAATGCGTTTTGTAGTTGGGAAACAGAAACCACATTCAGAAGAGGCCTGCGTGGCTCAGGAATTATGGTCTGGCTGTTCTTGTCATAAGTTGCTGCAGAATTAAAGAGGGAAGCATGCTATTACTCACGGAGATCCTCCAGCTGGGTTATTTGTGTAGGCCGTGTAAGGCCCTTATCTTTTCTCAGCAGTCATTGTAACTCTTAAGAGCCTTACAGATAAAGGCATTCAAAGGCTGAGAATCCTTCATCTTTGGGTTGTGGTGTTGCTCCCCCCACCCCCAGGAAGCTGCTGTATGGGAGCTGCTGTGGGCTGTCAAGGGAGGGATAGGGAGTTTGCATAAGAAGTTTATTTAAGTGTGAATCCCGGTATCATGGTGAATTAACCTCATTAATCAGTGTTTACTGGTGCTAACAACATCCCAGCTTCCACTTCTCTAGCAAATTAACAGCGTATTTTCTTGGTCAACCAAGATAAGACCACTGTGGGAAAGGCATACCCTAGCATGAGAAGCAGAAACCCTTTCTGGCCATGTAGATAGAGGCGCCTGCGTCGCCCATGGAGGATTGGGTTGGTTAAGAAGGATGAAAGCAGCACAAACTGCACAACTTCACAGAAAACTCAAAAGCAAAGGGCCAAGCTGGGTATCTGTCACAGAGTGTTGTCTGATGGTTTTTCAGTGAGCTCAGAAGCCTGAGAGCTGTAGAGATACGGTGGATTAAAGGAACCTTGCTCTGCCCCAAACGGTTAAGGACTTAACGCAGCACAGCTGCTAGGTGCTTGGGAGATGCAATGACATATAACAGGCTGATTCTCACCTGCTGCTGGTTAGAAAGGCTTGCCCCTGCTCCTACCCCATCACCAGCTACCAATGCCTATAGCCGTGTGGAAAACAGCCCGTTTACCGGTGATACAGTCTGCAGTGTGACTCTGTCCTCTCTGTAAGTCAGACTTCTTCATGTGCTCTGTGCAGGATCTGTAACCAAAAACCTCTCCTTAATCTGTATCCTCTCTGTTCTGCTTGTTGTGTGCACGTTATATTGGTGAGCTGATCTTCTGTTACACAACACTGTCCCACTGCTGCTTGAAAAATCTTTCTTTTCTAGAGCTATACCTAAACTGTATGTGCTAAACCCAGACACAGCATCTGGGTGGACCTCTGCATCTCACACTTCAGATGTGGGCTATGTCAGTTTGAGAGGGCTTTTTTATTATATTTACTGCTTCAGGATGTTAGGTGTAGTGAATTACAGCAGCTAGAAAGCACATGTGGCAGAAATCATCACTGTAAAATTTCATTGCAAAATGAAGGTTTTCAACGCATAATCTCCCAAGGCGTAAAATAAATATCTCGCCTATAACGTGAGAGGAACTCCATGGGTTAATTATAATTGGATTTTAGAGTAAATGAAATAGCTGAGCTGTTACAGGTTTATATTTTGCTGATTTCCAGATCCTCAGCTGCCCTCACTTTTTTCAGTCTATATGCTCAGTTAAACATTTGCTCCCAAGATGTTAAACAGCTGACTTTTTTCCACATACTTACAATGTGATGTCACATAGTTCAGTGAATTTCTACAATGATTCCAAGAAAGCCGGGATGTCAGGCTAACCCCACAACATCTGCTGTGGGCCAGGGTAGTCATGTGTGGTTGAACAATATGCATCCAATAGGGAGGACATACTTCAACCCTTGGCCACCATCTCTCATGGTATAGATAAATCCTACCCTTTCTGTATCGTATTTACAATGCCAAATATTTTCTTTCTACCTCTGTAGTTGCAGAGAGTGAAGAATGAATATGGCAGAGAATACAGCAATGTCAGCCTTCAACTTTTTAGCTTTTACTTTAATTGCACTCTCCAATCCTCCCCAGAGAATTATTTTAGAATATACAGTATGATTTCATGTAACACTTAAACCTGTACTACATTACTGGGTATTTCTTGGTGACCAGTGTTTTTTTTTCTTTGAACATGACTGATGTTTTTGGGCACCCCTTTTTTTTTTGGCTATCCAACTTGAGAAATATTACCTAGCCTTATTTTTGTGATCTTGCAAGTGGTCCGCCTGTTAAAAACTCAGCCAAAAATTTAGACCAGTACTCTTATTTTTTGAAGTGCCAGTTATTCTGATGGATATTTTCAGTTTTCTTCCTAAATAGCTCCAACTAAAACATTTGTCTTTTGATCAGTTTGATCAATTGCAGTATTCTACAGACTGAAACGTCTTTTTTTTTTTTTTCCCCTACAGATAAAGGGATATTTATTATCCAAAGTGAAGACTCCAACCTGTGCGTTAAAGTGGACGCAGTTGGCCTTGTTCTGGAAGACTGTGGTCAACTCTCAAAAGACATGTTATGGAAATGGGTATCCAATCGCCGTCTTTTCAACATAGGCAGAAGTACCTGTCTAGGACTCAACATCAGTAGACCAGAACAGCCGTTAAGTATGCTTGAATGTGATTCAACTCAATACTCGTTATGGTGGAATTGTGATGGAAAAGCATTAGTTGGTGTATCAGAGTACAAATTAGCCGTTGAAAACAGCAAACGTATCGTGGCCAAAAAAAAATCTACTTATCAGTGGAAACAGTACATGTCCTATGATGAAGACCTTTGTGAACACCCATTTCAAGGTAAAAACAAAATTTTGTCATAGAAACGTAAATGGGAAAAGTTTTCAAAAGTTCTTCTGAAGCAAGGTCAGGTGCTTATGATCCCTTCCAGCCTCTATTGTGATTTGGGACTCAAAGTTTGATTTTTTTTTTTTTTTTAATATGCAATGGTTTAGGTGAGCATACCACGCAATTGATTTTTTTCCTTATCTGTTATATGGACCCAAAAAAGCATCAATATCCTTGCAAACCAGGGAATGCTCATTTCAAATCCTCTATAAAATAAAAAGGGGAACTAAGGATTTGCTGTTGCCTGTCCTGCAGCTTTCATTATCAGATAAACCCAAAGAGAGATAACAAAGGATTTGGAATGCCCGTCACTGAAAATCAGTCTGTGATCGCAGTGTGCATGAACCGAATGTTTGCAATGTTCAGCACCTGGACTCTGAATGTGCCAAACTTTGGAGCAGAGGTCAGGCTTTTGATTAATCCTGCTGTACTGCTAGCGAAGGCGTAGGAATGTATGTCAAGATCCAGGTCTGCAGACCTGAACAGTTTTCCAGGTATAAGGACTAAGATAAACCCATTGACCACAAACAGCAACAGACAGACTGTACCTTGACCCCTTCCTCGGCATTTCTGTAGAAGGAAAGACCTAATATTTGCACAGCGTGTCTCAGACTGGAGCTGTTGATTCTCCCCATTTGAACTGGGTGGGGTGTTTGGGTTGCAGATCTGGTCTCGGTGGTTTCCTCTATAGGTGTAGCTGGGCTTGGCCTCTGCTAACTCCAAAGTCATTCCTTTGGGAGCTGTGATAACTGCGAAAGCACTATAGAATCCAACCTCTTCTTTAAGACCTAGAGGAGTTTATACTTAAGACCAGACAGAAAATATTTAAACCCTCAAAAAGTCTTACACATTTGCTATGTACACATAGCGAGATGAAAGTAGACCTGGTTTAGCCCTAGTACTGCAACATCTGGGAGAAGAGAATCAGCCTTAGGCAGGCGCTTCTAGCCTAGTTTCAGGACAAAAGTAATTAATTGTGTTGGCAAAATCTCTTTCACCTTAAATTTCTGTTTTCCTCCTTCTACCTTAGCTTATGCACATGCAAATGCTTCTGTTAGTCCACCAGGCTGGGGGGCATCTCTGCCTTCAAAGAAGAAATGCATGGAACTGGTGAGAGGCCTATAGCTGTCGAATTTGGTTTCTTGTCAGGACTGAGATAATCCCTTGCACCTCTGTAGCTAGCAGCGTGGTAGCGGGCAGACAGAAGCAATCCTGATTTTTTTTTTTAACCCATGTTCTTTGTATCATCTGTTCATATCAGAAGGCTTTAAAGGGGATTTACAATGTGTAAACTGCTTTTTTATATGTGAGCAGCCAGCCATTAACTCTGGAAACCTCTAGGAACCTGGCAGTATGTACTGATTCTGTAGTTGAAGGACTTTGATCTTTAGGCTACGAACATGGGATCTTTGACAAACAATTTCGTTCTAAGTGTGATTGTGGTTCTTTGACCTTCTGTAGAAGCTCCGAGGTTAAGGAGACACTCACTGAGGTAAAGCTTTTACAGCTTTCAGTTGCACTGGATTCTCTCAATATTTTGGTACGCAAAGTACAATTGGAAATATTTTAAATATTTTAAAAGGCATTAATTGATTGTGACAACAGATGTATGTAACATCAGTTCTTTAGCTAAATTATTATTTCCCATGGTACAAAAACTTAATTTTAAAAGTTTATTTAATATTCCTTTGTCTTTCACATTTCCTTTGCCATAGAATGACAAAGAGAATGGAAAAAATATTAGAAATCCACTTTTTAAAGAGTGGGAGGAGCAGGGGAAATAATGCTAAATTGCTCATCTGTAATAGACTAACAAATAAAAAATAAGTAGAGTTTGCATCTGACCATGTACTGATTCTGCTAACTATTGTTTTATGTAGTTGTTCTGAAATGTAAGTGCAGATTTTATATGTTAATTGCTCAGGTTTTGGGTGTTGTGTTTTTTTTTTCCAATTGTAGTAAGTTATGAGAATGTGCCTTGTTTCGTGGTGACAGGTTTCATAAATTATTATTTCCAAATTCTGTTCACTGAAGTTATGCTGCTCATACTTGTAATGCTGTGTTATCAATTATAAATTAAAATTAGAAAATAACTTTAGATATTTTATTTTTATCATTGCTGCTAAAAACAGGAATAATGAAATATGGGGGCGAAGAAATTTCTGTGGTCTGCATTCTTTTAATCTCTGCATTTTGTTTATTCCAGAAACATACACCTTGCTGGGAAATTCTTTTGGTTTCCCATGCATTTTTCCATTTAAATATAACAACAAGTGGTATTATGAGTGTACCAGAGATGGAAAGGAATTTGACTGGTGTGCCACAACAACTCACTATGAACAAGACGAAAAATGGGGGTTTTGCCCAAATGCTGGTAAGATGTTGCTTGTCTTCTCTCTCCCCCCACCCCCCAAGAATATCTTTGCTCTTTATTAGTAATTTTAGGATGCACTCTATTTTGGATTACTTCCCTTTTCTAAGAGGGGAATGCCTCTTTAAAAAATGCAGAAGACGACTTTAGCAAATTTTATCATAATTTATCATGTTTGGCCTTTAGAGATCCAAGTCGTCATCCCAAAAGCAAAACTAGAGGGGGTGAGTGAAAGGATGTTATTCTGCGCAGCCCATTGACCTTACTCTGCAGCTAAACCTTTGTCCGCTCTGTCCCAGTGATACATAGGAAGCGTGTAAAGTAAGGGTTGCTCTTCCAAAGTCACGTTCTGCTTTTCACTGCATTACATCTTGCACATTCCTTTTCTTCTGTGCACTACTTGGACACGTCTTGGGCCTAAAACACTTAGAAGCAATAGCTTTAAAAATACTTGCTATCGGAAAGATTTTGGATGTATAATCTTCATGAATATTCTAGCTTCTTGCATAAATAAGCAAAACAGTATCTTCTGTCAGCAGAAGTGGTTTGGAAAAGCCCTCCCTGCTCAAGCTACGTTTCAGATTTCTGTTCCAAAGCATCTTAAAAGCAGCTGTAAGTGTGTCTTTGTAATGGGGATTTCTGGGCAACCATTATAGTAAATGGTATTTTCAGCTTTACTTATACTTTGTAATTATAGTAAGTTTATTCTCTTGAGTACAAGATAGAAGGAGATCCAGTGACTGCTCCTCCACGAGTTGGGTGAGGTGTTCATGGTTTGAATATTTCAACATTCAGCTTTAGGAGCAAATGATCAGCTGGTATAAATGAAAACATAGCTCTGTTGGCTTCATGACACCTGTGAAAATCACCACCAGCTGCAGATCAGCTCTCGAGTATTTTATCAACCGTATGAAATACAGAGCAACATTTTATTCTGTTAGTGCCCTATTTCCATATGTTCTTTAACAAACGAACATGAAAGGAGTTCATAATTGTGCTTCCATTGGGATGCTACTGTCATTAATTAATTAAATTCCTCAAGGTTGATTAGTTTGTAGTCTTGGGCTGTTGGTGACGAGTCTGTTTTTGAGCAGAGAGCAGCTGCGATGTATTTTGGAAGAAGAACCCCGACACACACCTTTGCTACCAGTTCAACCTTGCATCTGTGCTGACCTGGCGTGAGGCACGGGCCGCCTGTCAGCTGCAGGGAGGAGACCTGCTGAGTGTCACCGACCCCGAAGAGCAGAACTATATACGGAACTTAAGCAGTGAGTAGACATTTCTCTGGGGCCCTTGTAGGAAACCTGTAGTTAGATTTCCTCTTTACCTGTGAAAAAGGGGTAAGCTTTGGAGCTTAATACCCTGTGTGACGTCTCTCCCCTTGCTGCTTGCGAGGCTTCGTCACATAACACGCCTCAGCAGAGCTGTTTGCGAAAGCAAGGGTGAAGGTAAGTTACTGCCTTAATAATGCGAGTGCAGAAGTGGTGGTGTGTGTTATGTGAGGGTGTAACTGTCTTAATTCTCCCTCCCCACAGAGACTCCCATTCATTCTTGCAGCTATGGTTATGGAGAACATTTGTTTTCTTTGGAGAATTATACCAATATTTACCTTCTCTGCAATGTACCCTGGTGTCCCTTTCTCCTGTTAAGTTTTCTTTGCAAGCTGGACTTCACCAAATGTGAATGACAAGAACATTTCTGCAGGCTTGAAGTAAATGTCCTGTATGGGAAAAATGCCAACTCTGTTTTCATGAGTGGATGGTATTCCTTCTGATAAGCCTTTTGCTTTCCCCCGTGCAGCAAGCACCTCAGACAAATTTTGCAGAGCCTTCTGACAACATGGCTTTCGTGGGTGTTTTAGCGTGCGTAGAGAGGACCAAGTGGAGGAATGGGTGGTAGAGCTGTGATGCGAAAGGCTGCCTCAGGTTTCTTGCTTCCCATTATTGCTGATTTTCAATTGCAGGATGTAAGCTAACAAGAAGTTTTAAAAATTATTTACATTAAACTTAAATTTAAATTTATTTAAATTAAATGTAAAATTATTTAAAATAAATTTAAAAATGCCTGCAGGCTGTAAAGGGATTGAAAGTTATTTAGTTTACGGAAAGCTGAAACAGGCTAGCGTTTATGTAGCTGCTTGTTCTAGATTTAACTTCTAGGGTCAGCAACAACCCCTGCAGGAAGGGTTTGCAGGATGAGTAGCTTTTGAAGGATGCAGACTTCTGAGTTTATTCCTTTTCATCTCTGTGTTGATTAACAAAGTAATAGACTTTTTCTAAGGACAGAAAAAACAGCCTGAACTTTCTGGAGACTGATTTGAAGTTTTGTTTTATTCCTATTGTAACAAGTCAGGACAGCAGGTCTATACCTGCAGATATTTTAAAACACGGCAAAAGTGTGAAGTATTACTTTGTCTATTTTTTCTGTTTCAGGGCAGTTAAACGCCACAGACATGATGCTGTGGATGGGCCTGAATCGTCTGGACGAAGATGCTGGCTGGCAGTGGTCAGATGGAGCACCACTAGTGTTTGTGAACTGGAGAGCAAGTACTTGATGTTCCTCTTGGATATGTTATAGCAGTGTAATTATACGCTTCTGCAGTGGCAGCTTGATAAAAGACCGCTGCTCCTACAGCTACGTTTGAAAAGTGAATCAAGTGAACGAGTGTACCTCTTTTTTTTTGTAGAAATATTCATGAACTAAAAGCCCCTTCTGGGGATGTAGCATCAGTTGAGATGGATCTGTTCAAAGCATTAATAATCTAGCCCTTTTGTCATTTTCATTTAAAGGTGTTTTTAAGATTGCATGTTTAAAAGCTGTGCTCCAGCTGGTTTCATGGAGGAAAGGAGTTTCAATTTGTTTACATTAACATGCTGTAATTAACATTAGCACATTAACGTGAGCTTTGTGACTTGGTTTGCTACATTTTGAGGTCTGTCCACCAGCAGATATAACATAGACACTAAAGCTTATTTCAGCCTCTTATCTGATAGCAGCAGCCGAGGAGGGATTGCCACACATGTATAAATCATGGTCAATGTTCAGCTGTCCATAGTATTGGTGTAATATTACTAGAAGTTTGGCTGTGCGGGGATGTTTATACATTCATTCAATAAGATGCAGAGAGCCTTACAATACCCTTTTACAAGCAAGAACTGATCTTTTTGTAATTTTGTGCTTCTCAAAAATGTGTTTGCAGATGTCTCTGATAACCGTTTTAGAGAAAATCATTGTGCAGTGATTAATTCAAAATTGAAGTACGGCTGGCAAAGTTATTTATGTGAATCTGGATTGCCTTTCATATGCAAAAAATATTTAAATAAGACAGAGCATGAAACATTGGGTAAGTCTCTCAATGTTACTGTATCCTATTTGTGGGTGTGGAAGGAGAACAAGAGGAAGCCATCTGAGTATAAAGTCAGCAGAACAGAGCTAGCTGGACTAAATGTATGGATTTGCTAGTTTAAGTTGAATATAGTTTACTTTAACTGATGTAGTAACACTTTCTTCTGGTTAAATGCAGTCCTGGAAAACATGTTGAGAGTCTTAAAACTAACAAATAATTTTAATATACATAGCAGTTAATTGGTAGCTTACATGATCAGAGGCTCGCAGAATGCTCATTCTCTTTATATTACAACAGAGCCACACTTTTGAGTTTAAAAATAGGTTTTCAGCTTTGAATGGAATTAACCAGTGGCCCAGAGAGAAGAAAGTCGTATAAATGCTGCTTAAAATTTGCAGTTATTTTTATGGCATACTGTACTTTTGATATACAAAAAAAGCATTGTACATATATTTTTTTAAAGTGTTTATATAATGAATATAGGATATATAGTATATAGAATGCCTGAGACTCCCATTCTGTGGGAAGGTTAAACACAGAATTGACTTTATCAGAACATTAGTTTTTGTTTTGATAAGAACAACTTACATAGGTTCAACTTCTTCCTGATAACGTAAAAGAAAGTTTCCCTACTTGTTTCAGATGAGAAAGGACTTACCCGAACTTTTTGTAGGTAATGCATCTGAAAAAGCTTTAGCTGGCTTTGAATCAGGTTCAGAGGTAATAAGGGAGATAGAACATGTTTTAAACTGAATAACAGATCCATTAGTGTGTTTGCATTAGGCCAGCAGCCCAAATGGTTGAGTCATAAAATAAAGTGGGAGAAATTTCAGTTTGCTTGGTAGGTGATGTTCCATAGAGCATGTGTTTTAGCCTCCTTGAGTCATCTTGGACAACTCTGTTTTCAGCATTTGAAGATAAAAAATAGCTCTGAACGTGTTATGAACATGGAATTGCCAGGGTTATGCTATCTAATGTACATGAACTTTGTATGCTTAATTAAAAGATACATGGAAGTATTATGCCACTCGTTGTGACACTGGCTGGTACCCACACAATCGCAACTGCTACAGACTTCATAAAGAGGAGAAGAGCTGGAACGATGCTTTTCTCTCATGCCAAAGTGACAATAGCGGGCTCATCAGTATATCCTCCATGGCAGATGCAGAGCTGCTCCTTAACTTGCTTGAAAGTGGTGAGTTTTGGGAGTTAGTGTGAAGTGTGCAGTGTTTCTTGAAGTGTTTTATGATGCTCTCTTGTGCAGCCCTTTAACATTGTTAGCCACCTAAGCACTATGTTACACGGCACACCCAAATGATGTTTACAAAAAAAGAAAGCATGATGCATGCTCCTCTCAGGAGTCTTAAAAATGTATAGCATCACCTTCCCAATAACCATACTTAAAATAAAGAAATGAATCAACAAAGTAAACACAGTGAGGCCACAGTAAGCATGCTACTTTTTATCCTGTCCTGTTCTTGGCTGGTTCCTTGCAAACTGTTGCAAAATAGTCAGTGATCATCCTTATGCAAGAATTGTGCTTGGAAGAAACAACAATTCAGAGCATCTTTTGCTTTCAAGCTGGCCTTGTCCACGCTGCAAAGTTGTTGCTGCTAGTACGTTGGAAGAATCCCCTTTGATGGCAGCAGGGTGTATCAAAGGAGTTCTGCTAGTCCACATTGTTGTAAGAGGTAGCATAATTACACAAGGAACTTAACGAACAGAAGGTCTTTGGTGCAGCAAATCCAAAACTTTTGCTGTCGTAACAGCAGCAAAGAAAAGTGAGTATTTTGTGCCTCCAGCTGACATTAGTGTGCTGGCAGAGCTGCACAGTTTGGCCATGAGTTTAAGCTTCCCAGAGCTGGGGCACAGTGACATGTTTTATCAACTCTGTCCCATCAGCTGTGGTTACAGGATGGTGCCTTATGCTGGATTTACTGGACATCATCTCCCGTTATCATCCCTCCTGCCACCCATCCCCTTTGCTGTCCTGTCTGTCTTTCTCTTGGGAGATTAACCACTGTATCATTTCCTTACCTCTATTAATACCCTCCATAGATACCAAATACCATTATTTCCAGGGATGCTGTAATGGATAGATGTAATTGTTCTCAGCTTGTATTCAGCTTCAAAGTCTGCTGCTTCTATTTCAGACCTGTTTCAGGTTCTCTTCAGGAGAAGGGCTTACATGCCTGAAAGCCTGTCTACTTATTCTGGCTGTAATAGCTGGTCAAGTAACACATTACATCAAACCACAAGCCTTGTCTTTCCTATGTTTGCCAGCCACTGTGGCTACAACTGTGCTGTCACTGGAACTTACAACCATCACTTGGAGAAACCTAAAGCTGAGGGTGCCATGGAAGGTTATAAGAAGAAATCTTTCCCTTCCATGTCAGGCTTTCTGCCCCATGCACTTCAAAAAAGTGCATATGCTCTTGATTTGTATTTTTCAGGATTTCAAAGCATATTATCATGCATGTTGATCTATTTTTGAAACAATTTAGTCTTCAAGGGCAGTGGAACACTATCTCATCAGTAAGGTTTCCTAATGTTTATACAGCTTTTTTTTTTTCCTGAAAGAAGGTAATTCTTCCGAATAATTTTTAATGGTGGTGTTGATGTTACAGGAACAACAGGCATTATTTCTTCACCATTAAAATCTGAACTCACTTATTCTTTTACAGAAAATGTAACTGAAACATGGATTGGGTTATACAGTAATAACACCCCCCTTGTTTTTGAGTGGTCAGATAGCACCCCAGTAAGATTCTCTAACTGGCACAGCCAAGAACCTAACACCTTTCAAAGAACAGGACAACTCTATGTTTCAGCACAAGGATCTGTAAGTTTCCTTTTCTTTTCAAAAGAATTAGGCAGTCACTTTTATTTTAGCTCATAATAATTTATTTTCTCACTGTGTACTTTTTTAAACCATGACCTGTAGTATGACTTTGGGTTTTGATTCCTAATATATTCATCTTGTGATAAATGCAGTGTAGCCTTTAGAAACCAATACATTTTGCAGTGCTGATGCATAGAAAATTAATCATAGATTTTGAGCTTACATTCAATAAAAAGACGTTACATACGTAAAGCTTGCAAAATGGAAGAGAACAGATATGAGAGGTATTTTGATAAAGACAAAGTAATTTGAAGTCTATATCATAATTTATGATGCATCAGTTCTGGTCTTGAAAGCTTCAAATTCATGTTTTGAAAAACTGTCATCTGTGCCTATTTTATCTTGCTGTCAATATTCATAAATTTTATATAGCATCTTTCAAAAACAGATAGTAGTCTAGATCTACATAAAATTATAGAAGTTGACAGCAGTAAGATTGACCCCAAATCAGTCAGGTGGTGTAAAACTGGGAGTAATGTTCACGTAACACTATGTCCTGTCTTACCGGTATTCATGGCACTGTCAATTTTTTCGTAATTTGGTCATAAATTTACTTTACTTTTACAATTAACAGTACTTAAATTCACTAATACATGACTTATGTAAGTAGCACTATAATCCTTTTTTTTTTTGTATATGTTTTGTCTAAGTGTGAAAACTGTATCAAAAAGAGTTTCCGTTGTCTCTTCAGTAGTGGGTCCAGGTTGCAATCTTTAACTGTCTTGGAAAGCCAAGATAGTTACAGTGACCTGGAAAAGTGGGTTCCCATTTGAAGCAGAAAATAGGACTTTGGTAAAATTGTGGGTTTTAGATACACAAAACCATATTTTACTCAGTTTGCAAGTGTAAACAAACAAATGAAAATTCTTCAAGCATTATGTTTAATACATGTCCGGTATGTATAGATGTCTGAAAATTATATCATACAAACTTTGTAATATCTTGAGTAAGGACTGTTCAAATATAAATACAAAGAACTATAATAGATAGGAAGAAAGTTCGTATCTATTCTGAAAAGTAAGTGCTCTGACATGGCCATAGTGTTAGTTAATTAAGATGCATTACATCCCAAAGAGTGATTCAAAGAGACAAACCCTTTTGTATGATTAATTTGAAAAGTCTTGCTGACAGTGTTGGTAGAAATAAATGGTCCATCTAAGGATAAATAAATTAATAGAGTGAGAAAAACTACTTGCTTTTACTGAAAAGTTGAAACAGAAGGACGGAGTGTAATCTAATGTGTGTATAGATATGCATGAGAATATGAGTATGTACAGAATATACTTTTTTTTATCCCTTAGGAGGGCCATTGGAAGGTTAAAAAATGTGAAGACAGATCTTTCTACATTTGCAAAAAAGCAGGGGAGTTTAATAATGTTTCTCCTGAGCTGGAATCAAGTTGTCCAGAGGTAAGGGGTTTTGTGGATTTTGTTTGTTTTAGAGCCTTACTAATAAAATAGAACTATATAGGAAATCTCTAAATGTAGCTACAGAACATATGGATGTAAATAGATAAGTTTAGTTTTTCATATTAAAGACATGCATGTTTTGCTAGGAAAGATCTCATTGTTTGCCTTAAAAGTATGTAAACTAAATTTTAATGTATGATTAAAAGCTTTCCCAAGATGCCTTTCGTGGCTTGTTGCATTGTCAGCGGTTGTGACCCAAGTTCCTATTTCTTTCTAGATCAAAAGTGAAAACCGTTTTGTCCACCATCTGTGCAAATAATGGTTGTTATATGATGCCTCATCCCACACATGGTTTTCATACATTGAAATGGAATGTCAGGGTGAAAAATAATCAGTTCCATTGACACGGAGAGTGAACTCTTCCACTCGTACATTAGCATTCCTTTTGCTTTCAAACACAAATGGGAGGGAGCACATCTATCTAAATAGGACATTGCAACAGGTTTTAAGGCTTTTAGGCTCTGCATTCTGGTAGTAAAAGGTAATGTGTTAAAGTATGATTTTATTTGCCATCGGTTCCTTTTCACAGTGTGAAAAGAGTAAACTTGTAGACTTTGTGTTTTCAAAACTCTGGAGGAGTTATGTGAACCTCTTTTTCTATCAACAAAAATCTCTCTTCTCTAACTTGCTTTACTCTTTAGCTCATTGTCTTCCTTTTTTAATTTCCTGTCAAGAAACACAACCAGTTCAGTTGAATTATAAGAAGGTTGAAGCTGAACTCTTTGGAGTTGGATGCAGTCTTTCCCCAGAAGTACAGTGGTCAGATCCAGTGTTCTGGTCATACCATTACGGAAGCAGAAGTTACTGCTTGGTTCCAGCTTAACATTTCCAAAAATTTAGAGTAACTGCATTTGTTTCATTTGGACCAATGTATTTCATTACTCAGGAATTTTGTGTGTTATTAGTGTAAGGAAGGTTTGTCACAGTCCTGACCATGTGAAAGATGTGCAGAGCATCAAGACTTCCAGTTGTAGTCAGGAGCTTGACAGCACTTCAGCTTCTGGTACCTCACAGGATTAAGACGCAGGAGATTGAGTCACTGGTCATAGGTAGTTTGGTCTGCTCTGACAAACTTCCTACTCAGGATAAATTTCTGCTTGTTGATGTTTCAAACCCTGTAAAAACATATGCTGAACCCTGTTGTAGTCCCTTGGTTTCGATAGATCCCTTCCTTTTTAATGTGAAAAAAGTTATATTCATTTAATCAAAAGAAGTCAGAACTAAGCTTACTCAAAGCTACATTTAATTTCAGACACTTTGTCTTGACAACTCACTTTCTTTTACCATTCAATGTATATGTTGTTGCTAGTTATTGGCCTAATTTTCCAGGGCTAAGTCTTTATTTCATCCAGATTTACCCCCACCCCCCCCTTTTCTGTTGCTGACTTGCCTTAAATGTACAGAATATCTATTGGCGTTTCTCACATTTGATCTTTTGCTTTGGTAACCTCGTACTGTCATTCATGTTGGATTGCTAGTAGATTCTCAGGGAGCTTTGGCCTTGGGCACAGTTGTTTACGTTTCTAAAGCTTTATAGTGTTACGTGTTATTCCTGAGCTTTCATCTCATGTTGATTTTATGACTTGTGCATCAGATGAACTAGCCTTTAACATTTTCTGTGGTTCTGCTGATTGCAGTTTTTGTACTTTGTCCATATCAAGTTACCAGAAACCTGAGCTCTTTTTTTCCTACACTTCTGTCATCCTAAGACATAAAAAGTGCTAAGCGCTTTCTTCCCTTAGCAGGTCAACTATTCTTTTTTCCTAGTCAGCAGCCTGTTACTGAGAATAAATATTTTATTGCAAAGGTCAGATTCTCTGGGCAGTTTTCCCCAACACTGAAATAACAGTTTTAAACATTTTCTTTCAACCAGCTTTTGAAACAGGTTGTGGAGCTGTCAGGGGCTTGATAATAGAGTTGGAGGTTTCTGTGTGCAGAACTGACTGTATTTGTACTGGTGACTTTGTCCAGTCCTCTCCACTTTAATTAGTGCATCAAAAGAGAAAAGTATAGTACTAAATCGAGCATTTGTCTTTATGGCTGTTGTTACAGGAGAGAATTGTACTTTAAAAAGGAGAACTGCTATTAAGACTACAAAACCTCATAAAGAGCAGAAGAGCAGCTGCTCAGAATAAGGGTCCATTCGGCCTCGTGTTCTGCCTCCCACAGGTGGCTGCGAGTGATGTTTGGGGAAGAGCAGGACAGGGCAAATACGGATAATGCTTCCCCCGGTTTTCCCTTGACCCCCAACCATTCAGGGGATTTCCTGAGCCTTTTAAGATTTGTGTATCTAACAGGCCGCATTGGGTATCCCCTCCAAGTGCTTGTCCGTTTTCCCCTTGAACTCATGGGAACTCTTTGCATTCACAACATTACTTAGTGAGGAGGTCTGTAAATCTACTACCTTTGAATGAAAAAATGCCATCTTCTTTCCATGTTGAACCTTCATCCTGCTAGCTTAGCTTTGTTTCTCATCCCCAAGGTCTTGTACAGAAGTAGTTGCCCACCTTCATGGCACTCACCATTTTGTAGACCTCTGTCATACCCTCCCTAAGACATCTCCGTTTTCCTGGCTGAAGAGTCCCAGCCTGCTCAGTTACTGCTTATGTGGAAGGAGCTCCATACATTTCATCATCCTTGATGCCCTTCTTTTCTAATACCCTTTTCTGAGACTGGGGGTTAGAACGCCAAAAAATGGCAAAAAGTGAATTTAAAAGGACAGAGTAACCTTCTCTGTTCTTTCTCTCCTCACAATTCTTAAGGTTCAATTTGACTTTTTGACTAAGCTGATGTTTCATGGAACTTAACGACCATAACCCCCAAATCTCATTCCTGCATGGTGGGAGTGAGATAGCTGTCCCTCACTTCATACATAAAATGATTGGGGGATACAGGGGAGGTCCCCATGTGCATCAGTTCATATTTATCTGTACAGAATGCCATCTGCCATTTTATTGACCAGTTAGCCTTTTAAGTTTGGAGTTTCTCAATCACTGCTTGCCCTCAATGCAAGCTTACCGGCCTCCAGTTACTCCACAATTTTTTTTTTTTTTTTTTTTTTTTAAAGTTTTTCACGCGGGGAAGTCCCAGCTCGTCAGTATGGAGATAGGGAAGAGACTCAACCCAGTTTATTTTTGTTTGCAAAGCCAGCGTCTGAGCAATGCATATGTGGTGGTCTCAGGTGAAACCAACAGAAATGGATACTACAGCTCGTTTTGTTTCTGTGCTTCTGTGCCATACGAAGGGCTGTGCCCAGCCATCTTCCAAGCACTGAAGGGGGGTGATAGTAAAAGGCAGCAGAGCTGTCAGCTACCCTGACAGAAGATACACTCCTAACTAGAAGCTGAAATTTGCCTCCCCAGATTCAGCAGCGCTGAAGGATGTGCATAACGTTTGATCGCAGGTCTGCAGCATCTCCTTGTGCATTTTATTGTACCTGAGCATGGATAGCAGAAAAAGAGCTTATCCATTTCCCCTTTTTTCTCCTTTTGCTGTTAACGTCACCATCCCATCAAGCGGTGTTTGATGGTGCCCACCTGAGTGCTGTGCTTGCTGCCTGTTGTGCTGCCTTGTGAGCTCCCCTGCAAGCAGCACCTCCCTCATGGAAGAGGCAAAGCGAGATCGGCTGGTTCTCCTGTCTGTGTGTGGCTTCAAGTTTAGACAGAGATGGTTTATTACCTCTTTATTCGCTTGATTATTTAAAACACTCGAGCGGGATGACCAGGCGACTAGACAGCATGAACTCCCACAGGCAGAATTCGCACCAGTCCTGGTAGCGTCTTCTGGTCACCCAGAGATGATTAATAAGAAATGAGGCTTCAGCCTCATAAAGAGACTTCTTTATCACTGTATTCTGTGGCATGAAGGCCCACAGCCTCTGGGTTTTTTTGGTTTTTTAAAAGGATATGTTTTCACTCTGGCTGAAGCGTAATGACTGACCACTGACTCAGTGTTCAGGCTCATCTGATAAACCATGAAAATGTGTCATTTTAATTCTGCGTTATTAGAGTAGGATGACTGTTAATTTAATTTTTATTTTTATTTGGAAGTTCTATTTGAAAATGAGAAAGGGAGCTGAGAAAAGGTAAATAACTGAGTGCATTGCTGTATGACAGGCCAGCAATTTCCGGAATAAATATTTCTGTTTACAGTTGAAGACAAAGGGCAGCTGTAATCCTTTTTTATAACAACTTAACTGAATCTGAGAGGGCAGTGTTCTCCCTGCATTTCAGGTGTCAGATGTCAGCAATGAGTTACCACAGGCGGAGACCAAGAAGCGCTGCTCCACGCCTCAGCCGAGGGGCGGCTGGCTGAGGGGCCCGGCCTCGCTCCCCCGGCTCAGTCACGGAAACAGTACTCAAAGCGTAACATGGAAGCAGAAGCAGTATGCGGGGAGAGCGCCTTAACTGTTGCCCACATTTTTGTCATACCCATTGAAGATGTTGTCGTGTCTGTGTGTTAAGCCAGTTTTTGCACCATTTAAGGATTTAAACTTTAAACTTCCGGTAAATTTACCCACGTTTTCAGTGACCTTGAGGGTAACGGCTCTTGAGCCACGGTAGAGAGGAAAAGGGCTCTAGGGACGTCGGTGATGATCAGACAGAAACTACAAAAAGGGATCAGGTTTTTAACAACTATATAATAATTAATAATCTATGAAATAATGTTCATTTCTTTTAAGGGATGGGAAAGACATGGTGGATATTGTTACAAAATCGACAGTACCCCTCGAAGTTTTGAACATGCTTCCAGTGGTTATTTCTGCCCATCTGCACTTGTATCAGTAACAAACAGGTAGTTAATCCTATTAGACAGTGTGAAGATACCTCTAACAAGAGCTACTCTAACTGTAGAAAGTGTTGCATGGCAAAAGAAATAATATTTGCGTGAGAGACGAGCATAATTACTAACATTGGCTAAAATCAAAGGTGCGCTTTGCTTTATTTTTTTAATTGAAAATAAATTTAGTAAGAAGCAATTGTTAGGCTAATAAACACAGCAACGTGCAGATATGTGAGCATGCAGGAATCTAAACAAAATGCTTTCTACAGAGGTATGTAACATTTTTAAGAAACTCTATTAGTGTACTTGGAAACTATACTGAAAAATGAAAATATATTTAATTTTTA